GAACACAGTCCAGGCCAATGAGCCGGACACTGGGTCGCTCCTCGCACCATCGAGCAGCCCAGCAGTCGGATTGGCGACGTTCTGGAGGTGGATCATCATCTCATGAATACATTGATGGGATCTCCTCTTTTCAATCTGATTGTTCGAGAAGTGGAGTCAGGCCAGAAGCAAGGGGCAGAGATGGCAGAGATATCTATCGTAGGCGGGAATCCCGATCGTCCACCCCGATGTCCGATTCATCCACCCAAACATTTGACTCCTCTTCTGTCAGGGACTCGTCTGGGACTTCTTCAATTATCCAACAGAATAGACCCCACGAGCGAGGATCTCACTCATTTGCCACGAAAACTTCAAGATCCTCTGATGTACGTCTCGAGAGCGACTCATTTGGGCAAGAGTCACAAGGTCCCTCGTCCACTGGGGCTAGTCTTTCACTCGACTCCGGCCCAATCCTAATAAATACTGGCATCATTTTGTCGTCGAAGACTTCAGAAGGCAATCAAACGAACTATTTACATTCCCAGTCCAAAGGAGATCATCCTGACATAGTTATGGAAGAAACCTCAAGCTCTACTCGTGATTCTACTACTGTGCGCACAAGAGCGATTGGTGAGGCGACTGAACTTCTTCAAGCTGTTGAAACACCAAATAGAAATGGGTCAGCTTCTCAGCTGAGATCATCAGTACCGGACGCTGTTGGCTGTCATGCTGCTCAATCACCTTTCCTCTCGACTCACATTGCCACCCAATCGTCCGGTGTTCACCTATTAGAAAGCTATTCCTCCGTTCCAAATCACAGTCCTGGAAATGATGATATAGTTTCACTGGGGTCCGCTGACGATGACGTTTCAATAGAAGACGGCCCTTTTGTGGTCCTCGGAACATTGTCAACCGACGGTTCAGCTTCTCCGCTAAGATCATCAGCAACGGATGCTGTTGGCTCTCATCCCACTCAACCCCCTGCCCCTTCAACAAACATTGTCACCGCACAATCGTTCGGTGTTCGCTTCTCAGAAAGCCATCTCTCCCAGGCTAACACCGTTTCAATCCACAGCCCAGCCAATGATGATACAGTTTCACTGGGGTCTGCTGACGATGACGTCTCAATGGACGAAGACCCTTTTGTGATCGTCGAAACATTGCCCAGCGACGGTTCAGCTTCTCCGCTAAGATCATCAGCAACGGATGCTGTTGGCTCTCATCTCACTCAACCTCCTGCCCCTTCAACAAACACTGCCACCGCCCAATCGCTCGGTATTCGCTTGTCAGAGAGCCATCTCTCCCAATATAACACCATTCCAATTGACAGCACAGCCGATGATGATATAGTTTCACTGGGGTCTTCCGACGACGACATCTCAACGCGAAATGACCATTCTCTGCAAGTTGCAAGTTCAGAAAAAGTTCCTGATCTACACAATGTTATTGGGCCTTGGGGCATTGTGCTTGGGAAAGTTGTGTATGCAGAAGTCATCGACTCGCTCCTTTGGGATGCCACATTTCTCAGAAGAGCAGTTTTTTCTTTTGCTGAGCCGGAAGGCGTTGTCAACATCGTCTCCGAGGCTATGTTCCGCTACTGGACTTGTGCAGAACCAAGTGTCACTACTGCGCAGCTTCTTTCTCGAGCAATCGCGGCTTGCTTACCTTTTCGCATTCTAGTGCCTCGTTCTTCCTTGACCGTCGTCACCAGCTTGCCTGTTCGTGAAACAATCAATAAATTACCTAACGAAAAGAACATCACAAAGTTCATCGCACTCTGGAAGGATTTTTTGAAAAATGATCTTCTCTTGCGACCAGAAGCTCGCGGCTTTTTGTTTGTTGGTGGTTTCGTGACAAGACTTGCCCTTTACTTTGGTGGAGCTGCCTTGGTACGGCGCGCGCAGGAGGGTCCGTCTGCTGAAGCAGCCGGCATGTATGGATTTCGCCTCAAAGCCTCAAATGGAGACACCCTGCATGATGATTTCGTCGCGCCAGCTGCAATCGACGCTTTGCTAGGGAGTCCAGCGCATAATTTTAACACAAAGAAAACACTTTTTCCTGATGGAGAAGCTCTGGCACGCCACTTCCCCCGTTATCAAGGAGTTTGGACTCAACATTGCGAAGACCTTTTTCAGGCCATTTTGCGATCATTTCAAAAGAAACCGGAGCTGAGAAATACTCGTGAATGGGGGCGTTGGTTGCGAGTGGGCGAACACAACAAACGGGACGAGCCTCTCATTGACATTAAAGGTGCTTGCACTGACATACTTCAGAATCTGGAACTTCACCCCCCTCATGACCGTCGATGGCATCAAGCTCCCCTGACCTCTGTTCGAACAGACTTGTGTCCAATTGTCCAAAACACTACTTAGCATTTACCCATCGGGACCTGGATCAGCTTTGTTATGTCCAAGTCGCGTCCTGAGTGGCAGCTCAGTAACATATCATTCCGGTAACAGTTGTAGTAGTCTATTGAGGTGGTGAGGTATACCTACTTACTTGATCATAATTCTTGCTCGTTGCTTGTCGTGGGATTCTGGAGTCTTTGTCAGCAATTCACCGGATGCTTCAATGCTAACCACAAGCCAACCATGTCACCTCCTCTTACACTTTGGGAGATAACAGTCATGCAGAAGTTCTTAATTGGCTGCATGACGTTTTGACACGCCAGAAACGTGAGTTGCCCCCACCCTTGAAAGCTTGAAGTGCAATGGTGTTAATTGATTTTGTGAAGCACCGCAGAGTTTTGAAGCGAAGTTGGATCTACGTAGGTTCGTCATCACCGTCGTCAACATGTCTCATGAGTGGCTAGGCCAAGGTTAAGCAAATTTTTGTAATGTATCCCACGAAGTTGCTGTTTGAGCTGGCTTGCGGCAAAGGTATGAGCATGCTGACAAACCAGCCCCGCCTATTTCGCTGACTCTAAATTGAAAAGGGTAAGTCATGAGGCACTGCTCATATTGATCTTTGTGTTAGCTTTCACTAGAAACGTCTTCGTGTGGAAAGGGAAATGTCTTCCAGCTCGCAAATTATCTTGCTTGGATCGAAGGGTAGCGGTGAGTGGTATTTTGCGCGGGCGTTAACGATCCTCAACGACATGCATGCAACAGGAAAGACCGCATTCATCGCTACCCTTTGTGGTGTGCGTATGCTAAATAACGTTCTGTTTCTGACATCGGTATAACACTTCTATCTTCCAGCTTTCCATTCTATTTTCCACTCGATACGCATTCGAGTGGCATTTATCTCCATCAGGACCGTGGACAGCCAACATCTACATCTGCCGACGGCAGCCAACGACCCTTTGGGACGTGAAGGTCGCGTTCTGCACCATCATATCGACTCCGCTGGATCTTCAGAATGCTATCCGGCGAACTCAAATTGCCGTCTTCAAACCAAAGGCAAGCTTTGAAGAAGCACTTGCCACGGACGAGGCTTCCCTCTGCCATTTTGAAACCCAGTTAACGTCAAGACAGTCTTACTGCGCCATGTCCACCGTGCACGTTTATCTTCAGTGCCCGGGGTTTATCCTGTCACCCATGGTATTCGTAGATTTACCTAGTATGTGGAACGGTCTTACAGTTTAATATGAAACCTACCATGCTTATAGAACACAGTGACCAATTAATTACTCACACCGTAAACGATCTTGTGCTGCATTACATCCGGCCTCAGCACAACATCATCCTTGCCACCGTGCCCATCGCTAGTCTGTTTTCTTTTTAATTCTAGAGATACAAAGCAACTAAAGGTATTGTCAGTGCCTAAACCATGTAAATATTTGTGTGGGCTGCTGAACGTTGAAGATCCACAACGTATTCGCACTCTAGGTTAGATTATTTCTGCAAGCTTGCCGCCGCTCAACTCAGTCTGCTCTCGCATAGTGGTTCTGACGGGCACCAGATTCACTGGATATATCAAACCTTGGTTGGAGGTGCTCCAGAGAATTAGGGCCCGACCTTGTCTTCATTTTGCCATTCATGAACGGGATCCTTCGGACAGTCTTGCGGGTAGCACAAATGCATTGGACTTCCGTCAGTTAGAGATGGCTTTTTTTGCCACCACCGCCCCTTGGTCAGCGATGCAGGAACAGCAATTTCTTGGTGTTAGTAAGGTCGCTCGTGCCCTGGTGAAACTCTCGCTCGAGATCCACGCCGTAAACCAGTAAGCAGGTTTTGTCTGGGGTGTCTCCTACCATCACTCATTGCAATTGGTTGGCACATAGGTTAACTCCTATTGATTTTCCTGGTGCGTACATTTCAAGTGGCGAAAACGAAATTAGCGTTGGCGCAATTGTGGTTGGCATTTTCTTGTTATTCTTCTTTTCTACCCAATTGTAGGTAGTAAGTAATATAAGTCTAGATTTCTATCGCCGTAAGGGAAAAAGATTGACATGCCCGAAACCTATAAGTAAACTAAGCTTTGCAATATCCGCTTAAAAATACCCTCTAGTACAGATGGGCGTGTGAAGGCGTGTCAGAGACGGACTAAACTTGAATGACGAGAAAACCTGGACATGACCTCAAACGTGGTCCAAATATTCTTCTGAAAGCCATATGCAAGAGCAAATATACTCTCAACTCACCCTCTGACCAAAGCGGTGAGGCACTGAAAAGACAACCCAGACAGGCCGGAGAGGCTAATTGCAACCTGTGGCCAGTATCACTTGAGTCAAACTTGAGTATGCTCTACTTATCGCTACGATTGACATTGAAACCACGTGTTGTTTAAACTCCGCCACTCACCCAAGTTGTCCATTGGCAATGGATGGACACTTATAAATCTCTACGTCGTTGGAAGCATGTAAGTTCTCGTATCCTGCAAAATATGACCTTTCAACGTGCATTTTCTAGGATAATCAGGCTAATCTTGCCACGGTGCCCGTGTCCCCCAGTCACTTCGTTTCGCTTCAAAGATCAAGGTCCTCTTACTGGATCTGTTCTCTGCGATTCTTCTCTCTTGTAAAAAGACGAACGGGGTTTCGGCATGAAAACGCAGTCGGTCTGGACAGCCTGCACAGAATGGTCACGTCCGAACAGTAAGGACTTGATCTCGATGTTTCCAAATTGTGAATGTGCCCAGGAGCCTTCTACGTGGACCGGCCTGTGCCTGGACTGGCGCACGACGCCTGCGTCCCGCAAGCGCTTCTCAAAGATCGCCCCATATTGGCCTTGTTTCCCGCGGTTCGCGATCGGCTCGAGGTGTCTTCTACCGTTTTATAAGACGAAGTTTTGACACCAAAATGAAGTTGGTCTGGACGGCCAGCACATCTTCTTCCCTGTTTCATCGGCCTTGTTCTCGCTGAGCTTGCCACTTCTGGTCGAACCAACGCCTACTCCGTGCGTCGACCACGTCATCATCCATCTTCTGGAGGTCTGTTTGGAACGGTAGTGCGGTTGAAAATATTTTCAAGGTCGACGCGGCGCTTCAAGTTCAGAAGCATCTTTTCCCATTCACCATCCGAGATTCTTTATCACCCAGGCAACTCCGGCGTGAAATCGCGCAAGAGTTCTCCCAAAACTTATGAATCAATACCCCCGTGTGGTGCATGTGTAATCCACGGGCACGCATCTACTCGGCAGATCACAGCACAATAGACCGCATACTGCCAACCTCTCAATCACCATCTTCTCAAGCGCTGGTGAGTATTTGCTTTGGCCTAACAAATGTATCTGATCTAAGGTTCTATAGCCGATTGCGTCCTGCGGCTTAAGTGACGATGTTTGCCGTTGTATGGTAAAAGCTTCGGATGAAGATTCGACATTTGGCGATTTTGACACTTTTTCGGGCATATCTTTGTTCGCGTCGCCTACCGCCCAGTCTTCAACGCTAGCTGTGCACCGACTCCACTGTCATTTTGTTACGCGACGTTCTCTCATCAAAAGATAGTCAGTCTGGGACACAAACGGCGTTTCCTCCAGGCTACAAGTTTCCGTGAGTACATGACGCTCTTTCGGAACTTCTGGTCATGAGCAGCCCTGCTATCATCGCGCGCAGGGCTATTCCGAACTTTTCCAATCAACATGCCGTATGTGAGAATACCATCAACTTCAACATGAATTGCTACTCCGTGGCAATGGGCCAATGGCTTCTGAGTATGAAGGGTCTCAAATCCCCACAAAGTCTAAGGACACACGGCAGCGTTTGTGATTGACTTGATGTGTACTCTTTTCGTCAATCGTTTTCTTCCAGAATCCCGAGTCATGCTCCCTAGCAATTCCGGCTTGCAATGGCGCGCAGTGTCCCAAAACTTATCAATCAACAGCCCGAACGTGCCCTGGTTTGAAGACTTCCAGCAAGAGCTACAGGCGAGTTCCAACGACCTAAATGGGAGCGTCGGCATTCAACACTGTTTTCGTTGAAGGCCAGGCCAGCAGACTCGTCACCTTCTAAAGACCACTTAAAATGGTAGTTTCAATGAGGCTTTCGGAGGTACCCTTTCTCCTCGTTCATTTCCCAGCCACACCCCCTGACTTTGCGTTCAATTTTCCATCAACTTCTACGTTTGGCTTATTTGACCCGCGTCCTGCCAAGCGCGCTTGGGCTTTGCAAAGTAACGCTGTTTGGGGGCACAAAACTAGTTTTACTCCGGCTGCAAATCTCTTCCAGGCCGCGTGTCTTTTGCGCTACCTCAGAATCATCAACCTCTCAACACCAATCATTAAGCTTACATACAACTCCTACCGACAACCCACTGTCCTGATAGAAACATCGTTCTGTAACCAGCTAAGTCTTTGTGCGACCAGCCAAAGAATCTGAATTATTTCAATTAAAGTTATATTAATGCAAAAATGATTCGATACAGCACACAACATGGATTCGTTTCAAAAGCTAGGCGATCAAGATATCAAAAAGTTAGGCGGACGATGGATGAATGGAGGGTTGTTCGCTAATGAACAATACAGTCATTTTTTAAGTATGGAGCAGCAGTTCACCAACGGAATCACAAGTATGGGGGTAACGTCAACAAATACAACGACAGTATACCCCCCATTCTAACTTTGGAAGATTGGGAAGCGTGTCTCCATCTCGACAACAAGTAGCAGGAAAGGTAGGCAGCTGATTGAGTGAAAAAGTGGACGAAATTTCCGTCTGGACGGTTGGATGACACCCCGACTGAGAGAAAATCATGAAATAGAGACTGTATTGAAGATGTGCTCCTGCCTAGAGGGAGGAAGTCAGCAAGGGTGGTTAACATTGCATAGAAAATGAAGGAAAAACCATAGCTTCATGGACCTCTTGAGAATGCTGGGGCAGGTAGAGCTGACTGAGTGAGAAACTGGACGAAATATCTGTCTGGATAGTTGGATGACGCCCCGACTGAGAGAAAACCATGAGATAGAAATTGTATTGAAGATGTGCCCCCGCCTAGAGGGAAAGTAGTCAGCAAGGGCAGTGAGATCAGGACAGGACGGACCGGTTGACATTGCATAGAAAATGAAGGAAAAACCATAGCTTCATGGACTTCTTGAGAATGCTGGGGCAGGTCGTCGCCAAGTCTCTGGTTGGCGGTTGAAGTCTCAGGCAGCCGGCTGAAATCATCGAGCAATTGACTGACAGGCCAGGCCTGCAAATGGCTAGAGGCGTAATGGACTGGTTGTGTTCGAAGGACCTCAGACCATCTACAGCCGCAAAAGTAAGCTACTTCACGTGAATGAGAGGAAGTAGCTTCAAGAGAATATGCGACTTGAGAATGATCGTTTGGAAACTTTGATTCGTTCGATCTGCGATGATAGCTCCCTAAACAATCGAGAATATATATAAATTGTGACACCCACTGGGAGTTCAACATTAGCACCCCGCAAGGGACACAGGGCTACGCGCGAGCAGAAGTGTTAGGGTGTCGTAGCGGTGAGGTGAGGGAAGGCGACGAACCTCATTGTGATAATCTACGAGATGTAAGTCGCCCCAAGGAATGGAAGAGGTGGACAGAGAGATAACGCATGTGGAAAACAACAGCGAAATTAGAAGGACCACGCGCTTGGCCAAAAATTCAGAGGTCGAGGATGAAGGGAGACAGAAAGGCAAGCGGAGAGTTGCTGAGAAGGGTAAGTCTGCAGTTGCTAGCCCAGTGAGCGAGATGGAATTGTCCTTCTTTGTGGGAGAGAAAGAGAAGGGTAAATCGCTTCCAAGATTATGGCAAATATCGGCACAGTAGCCGTTATAAGCAAGTAAGGAAGGAGAATGGGTGCCTGACGAAAAGGGTATGTTAGGAGGTCAGAACAGCCAACAATGAAGGGCAGGTTTTCGCACACAGTGCAAGAGTGGGAGGCGTCTTGAATTCGTTTGGGACCTGGAAAGGAATACTATATTAACAAAAGGAACACAGAAATCGCGTTCAAGAGAGCACCTGGCTAAGCTCGTTGAGAGACATGGAACAGATTGAAGACAGAGAAGTTTACTACAAGGTAGACAAAGGAAAGTGAGAAAAGTTTCCTTTGTCTGAACACGAGTGGAGCGGAGTGCCATTCACGGCAATTAAAAGGGAATCGCCGGGGAATGTCACCAAAAAGGGATCACGATCATGCGCCATGAAGGACAGAATGCTGAAAATTGTGCGCATTAAGCATCGGATGCATAATTGGGCAGCAATGTTGCGGAAAGAGAGCAAGGAAAGAGAAACCTGTAGGAGTCCACACAACAGGTCCATTCCTTGCCTTATGAGCGAACGTCATCACATCGCTAATACAAATGACGCGAGGCGCGAATCCACGCCGTTGAAACGGGGAGTCCAAGAAGTTGGAGAGACTGAGCTTCGCAAGATTATGCAACCAAAATGCCTTCTGCTATGTGAGAGACAGGTCACAGACTGAATGTCGAAAAAAGCAAGATATACCTCAAAACGTAACTTTCGGCGAATGGAATAAGCGCGAACAGACACCCGAGTCGCCCTTATATCACTGTAGACCTTCTTTGCCCTTTATAATAAAGAGACAAACGTGATATTTATAGGGCTGACTATGGGAGACTACCTCCTGCGTGGTGCACTGGTGACAGTGGCCAGGTGACAGAGTTCAACTTGTTGTGCGAATTTGAAATCACGTGAGGTACAAGCTCCAGCTCTTGACGTAATTACCCTACTTAGTTTACTTACATCTCGCTCGCAATGCTGCATGTTCGTCTGGCGATAAGTCGATTCAATGACCCAACATCATACCTTTTTGAAGGAGAACAGCGTAAACCACCTTCTCAATCCCATTTGTTCTCTTGTTGCGAAAGATGGATTTGCCGTCCTCACAAAATAGAACAAGATTTCAAACCTCCCTGGATTGCTACAATTAATAATACATATGAAGTAAAGATATTCAACCGATTATATGGTGAAAATGAAGTAATCCGCCCAATCCACTCCAATTAATCCACAGCCATTTTCAATAGTCACCACCTTTTGCGTATAGGCTCGAATGAAGCTGATGATGCCTAAGGCGGTATTGACCGTCTGTGTGCACCGAATAGGGACAGAAGTTACCACGGTCCGGCAAAGAGGACACTTGTAAGATGGTGTAAAGTTGAATGTGGCCAGATTTTTGAACCGCGCGAAAATCTCGGCGGTGTAAGGGGTATGACCCTCTTCACGAAGCTGAGGCTCAACATTGATATGATCATGTAAATCCCTATTCAGTTCAAGTCGAACCGCCTCCTGGAAAAGCTGGTGGAGAGCTTGGGCCGAAAAGGCATGACCACATTCTGGCAGTCTTGGGGCAAATAAGATTTAAAAGATATGCTTGAAAGGAATACGTACATCCAGAGGCACTTCACTGGTTCAAGCAGAATCGGGCAGGTAAGAGACTCCACAGCCGCCTTGAAGATCTATTGCAACGTTAATATGTTCGATGGGATCCAACCAAGGTAAAGATAATCACCATATCAAGTTTGCGACGGATGGAATCACCTTCAGAGAGGCGTTGTTGATGCTGTATTCCGCCACTTAGCACGACAATAAGCACCAATGAAGTGAGCCGACTGACCATGTCACTGCAATGCTGGAGACGGACATTTTGAGCTGCTAAAACAACAAACTAGGGAGAAATAAGCGGCAGATAAGGCATGTTTCAAGGCAGCGCGTACACGATCTTTGGCTGGTTGTGCACATTCATAAGCGACAAGAGAAGAGACAATATCAACGGCACAAACCCAGTACAACAATGCCATTTCTTTCCAACTCGTCTTCGTGGGATGCGTTGTTGAGGGAGTAGGAACCGGAGGGCAATGTTGCCAATGCCATAGAGATGTTGAATCAAACAGCGGGGAAAAGAGACGTTGGGAAGTAACAGTGGAAAGGCGACAGAAAGGACCCCGCCACTCCTCGAATTTGACAAAGAGCGACCGTGGGAAGATTTAGGCTGCACGTGCGCTTAGCTAGAACGGTTGTTGAGAAATTGGGGTGTAGCCTATTTTGTGTCAAGGACAAGATCTTCGATGAATGGAAAGTGCGCCATACGGGGGTATCAATTCTTAAGTCTCGAAGGAACTCCTTGCGCAATTTCACGCCGGAGTCGCCTGGGTGATAAAGAATCCCCGAGGGCAGCTTCAGGCAGATGGATCAAAAGACGTGAATGCCTGTTGAGCCTTGGGTCAGATATATTCCCTAGGATGAAGACAATACTCACCAAGGCGATGCGAGATTTCTCGTGCAGCAATTTGTCTACCGTGTTCGATGAATTCAACATGTGCAAACACAGGGGTGCTGAGTTATAGTTTCTGAGAAAACACTCTGCGCGATTTCACGCTAGAGTTGGCTGCAAACGAAGAGGTGGGTGCAAAGCCAGTTTATTGTGCATGTCAGACCGGGCGGAAAGGAGGTCGATGAAGACAATCAAAGGATAGGCAGACAACGCGCACAATGCACCTGCTGACACCCGGAGTAAAGGATAGACGTGCCCAGAAAAGTGTCAAGATCATCAAATGTTGAACCCAATCGTCATACGAAGCCTTTGCCACACAACGCCAAACATGAATGGGTCCACGGAGTGGCGAGCTGCTTCCTAGTTGTTGGTGGGCCCTCGTCTGCCAAAACTCGATAAACAGCCTCAGGCAGCTAGAGTTGGCTGCAAACGAAGTGAGGAGAGGTGGGTGCAAAGCGAATTTATTGTGCATGTCGGACCGGGGAGAAAGAAGGTCGATGAAGACGATCACAGAATATGCAGACAGCGCACAAGGCACCTGCTGACACCCGGACTAAAGGATAGACGTGCCCGGAAAGCGTCAAGATCTTCAAATGTTGTATCGAAAGCTAGCCATTCGTCATTCGAGGCCTTTGCCACAGAACGCCAAACATGAATGGCGGTAACGAGCTGCTTCCTAGTTGTTGGTGGGCCTTCGTCTGCCAAAACCTTGATGAAGAGCCACAGGCAGATGGATTTAAGGACGTAGATGCCTATTGAGCCTTCAGTTTGCCGCAGAACGCCAAACATGAACGGGTGGTAACGAGCTGCTTCCTAGTTGTTGGTGGGCCCTCGTTTGCCAGGAACTCGATAAACAGCTTCCTGCAGATGGATTAAAGGACGTAAATGCCTATTGTGCCCGAGTCAGATATATCTCCCAGCATGAAGACAACACTCACCAAGCCGATGCCAGATTTCCCGTGCTCTACCGCCATGTACAACGCAGGGGTGCTGAGTCATAGTTTGTGAGAAAACCGTCGTTGTTCCAGCACCGCACGCAACGCTTGACTAGCTTGGGGGAGAAGAGGCAATTGCGGGATATGGGCGTTGTACGCGAGTCCACGCACAAGCCGGCCTACGTGGGTGGAAGCCCTCCGTTTGGGCACATTCAGCATCTGGAAACGTCCGAATGGTATCAAGTCTTGACCGTTTAAACGTGGCAATCACGTCATTCTGTTCTGGCCCTCCATACTGACTGCATTTTGATGCCAGAAAAAAAGAGAGAAGACACCTCGGGTCGATCCCAAATCGTAGAAGATAAGACCGATAAGGGATGACCTTGGAGCGAAACGAAATAATTTTGGGACATGGGCGCTATGCGCGAGTTCACGCACAGGCCGGTCCGCGTGCAAGCGCTCCTTCAAGGTGCATTCACGATTTGGAAACGTCCGAGTCGTTGAAATCGATTTCTGGCTGTTCCGACGTTGCAGTCGTATCATTCGGAACGCGGCGAGATTAGCCTGATCATCCTAGAAAAAGCACATTTCAAGGTCATCTTTGCCAGTAAACGAGGGGCTTACATGCTTCCGGCAAGGTAAGAGACTTAAGTCCATCCAGTTTGAAGTTGTTTCCTCAAGGCGGTGAGTAGCGGAGTTTAAACCTCACGTGGCTTCGATGCTCACGATTCATTTCCACCCACGGGCAATATATCAACTGACCTCTCGCTGTCAATGTCTCTCCTGAGAGTGAATTGAGCGTGGATTCGTGCTCTTGTATGTGGCCTTCGGGAAAATATCTGGCGATGGATGACGTTCTTAAGGTAGTATGTCCAACTTTTTCTAGTCCGTCGTCATACGCTGATTTGCAGCCCAAGGCATTTTTTAACATCATTCTAATGTCTCTCTGTTCTTGCCGGAGGGTGACTTGAGCGTGGATTTGCGCTTTTGTATGTGGTCTTCGGACAAATATTTTGCCATGGGTGACGTTTTGAGGGTATGTTCAGCTTTTTTCAGTCCGTCTGTCATACACTAATTTGCAGCCCACGGCATTTTCTGCAAAGCCCAGAATAACATTTCCCCGATAACCTCCTTTCAAAGTCGGGGATTTGCTTCTTGACTGTTGTCTTACAACTCAACAGCCAACATTTCGTGCCGCACGTGTAATCTGTTGGCCTTCGAAGGGGTCGGACCGCACACAAACAACGCAACAGCTTCCCACTAGCCGACCGGTTTCTGTTGTCTTCCAACTCAATAGCCAACATTTCGGTAGGCGATGACGCCTTTCGACTTATGTGCATGAAGTTGTCGATAAAGTCCGCACTTCAGCCGATGATCATTCTGCCGCCTTTTGACGCTGCGATCTTCCTCTACTTATCGGCTTTCTTCCGTGGCCCTCGTTTTCGTTAGAAGATTCGAATCACATTTCGAGGTACGTGCTGCTTTTCTAGACATCCAGACTGGATCTGACTGCTCATTCATTGCAGAAGATCTCCGATGCCTCCGCATTACTGTGTGTGAACTCGCGTGCAGTGTATATTCCGAGGTGAAGACATGTGATGCGGAGGCCGATTGACATTACCATTCTGTATGGAAGTTGAACGACATTGGGGATAATTGATTGTCCCGGATTATCATTTCAATGACCTGGGCGTGTATTCGCGCCGTCGGGATCTTCTGCCTTGACTCGCGCGCAGCAGTCGTGCGACATTCTCGACCACACTCATAACGTGAGGATCTAGTCCACGGCTTTTACGCTTGAATTGTCACTTCGCGCCAAACTTGTAATGTCCCCAACGACTCTTTCTAGGGCAAAATCTGCCTGCACTCTAGTCCCTTATTTCACTCTCAAGCCTAACTCTCCCTCGAATTCCTCGTAATATGCAGTTTCCGATTGGTCGCTTGGAAGTCCGCTACCCCAAACTTACCAGTCTTATCCGAATGTCAGTAGCGGTCACCCCATGCGCCGTTTATCAACGCGCTTCGATCATCGTCGTCACCATCTCTAGACGGTTTCATTTGCTTGACGATTGCACAATGGTCAACATTCGCCATCACGTGACTTGGTACCACAAACGATAGTTGGCTTCGACGCGATGAACGAGACTGCGCGTGGATTTGCGTGCAGCACTTGGACCAAGATAACAATTCTCTGCATGCTGAGTATATGGGTATAAACTTATTTCAGGGATATCCGTCAAGCTACATAATGGTGCAACAACGTTTGTGGGAGATGGCCTCGTCTACAAGCAATGAAAAGTCGCACTGTGCGTGCAGTCGCTATGCATGCAGCAATCGTCTTTTGTCTGATCTTTGGAAATGGGAGGTGGCAGCCGCTGTGGGCATCAGCAAAACCTGATTTTCCCACGTAGACAGGCATAGTGCTTCCGCTAATATCATAGTTTCCCATAGTTACACGCCAAGTTTGGCTAGATGCCCTAGCGCCACACAGCGCTCCACAGCACTGTGTGGGTGTAAGCTTGTGCTATACAGCACTACAGAGACTTGTGCCGTTACTATAGGGTGCTATAGAGGGGCCTCCACTTTCTACCCAGCCCTTATAGGGAGTCAAACTACAAGTATACTAGATTTCAGTAGAAAACACATTCCCTATTGTATATGAATAATTTATGACCAAAATACGCCTGGAATAAGAAGAAAGTACAACACTGTCCAGAGATTGATTGACCTACAAAGATTGCAACAAGAAAGAATATGAAGTATCTTTTGCAAAACATATTCGTCTTTTGTGATTTTTTTTGCGTTGGAAAGTGGTGTTCAAGCCGATTCCAACGCGTCTATTTACGTAGTATTTAGTTCAACACTTAAATGGCTTTGGACCAATTACTGGTGAAGAATCTGCCTAAAAACGGTAAATGTTATCGGAGGTCGCCTTAAACGTCGAAATATTAGGGGCTCTCAGACCCGTTTTAAAGCTCTAATTTGTGCGTTTCTAACAAGCCCAAAATCGCATGAAACGGAGCAGAACTCATGATGATAATATATATTTCAGATGTCTAATACAGGCCAAATAGTTTATGCTACAGTTTGTGAGGTACTCCAAATTTTTCTACGCCGTAAATTGGATTGCATTCGCGTGAATGAAGCGATTAAAATAAGCCTACATAGAGGCCAAACGGTGTAATACTCGTGAAGTTATAGCTATGAGCTACCCTAGAAAGTGTAAGTGTGAATTGATGGAAGTCGGTACAGTTGCGGGAAGTCACGTGCCGCGCTCAACTCACATTTTCGAACTTAGACAACTTCAATTGTTACTACTACTACAGTCATCCACCTGCTAATGATACACCCAAAATGAGAAATTAGCTTCAACAGATTTGAGTACAACCTTTCTCTACAAAAACTACATGATAATCTCAGATAAATGCCCTTCTATGACCATACCAACTTTCAGAATGTTTGACCCACATTTCACAGAGAAAAAGTAAGATTATGGGTGTATCATTGAGTGGTGTGACTGTATTTGGCTATTTCCGAAAAACAGTCCATTTTGTATGCTCCACAGCTTTGCCAATTCTGCCTCAATTGCATCCAAATTATGTACAGTGGTAGATATGAGTTTGTACTACTTGTTACAACTTGTTTCGTAAAAATTGGTCTAGTAT